TGGATCTGGCTAAGTGATTGTCTCTCCTCTACAAATCCACCATGACAGACTGAATTGTGGTGCTGTGGCTGGAGCTCTGGGAACTGCATTTCTGGAGGACAGCAGGAGACCCTGCTGGCTTTCTGTTAGATTGGACAATAGGTTGCTTTAAAGGAGCTTGGAAGCCGTGGGAGGAGAGAATGGACTTGTTGGCTTGCTTCCCTCAGTGTCACCTTGGCAACAGCAAATATTTCAAGCCTGCAGCTGGGCAGGACTCTGCTTTTTTTTTTTTTTTTTGGGTCCGGTCATGGGGCCTGAACTCTGGGCCTGGGCGCTGTCCCTCAGCTCTTTGGCTCAAGGCTAGCACTCTACCACTTGAGCCACAGCACCACTTCCGGCTTTTTCCTGCTTATGTGGTGCTGAGGAATCGAACCCAGAACCTCATGCATACGAGGCGAGCACTCTACCACTGAGCCACCTTCCCAGCCCCTGGGCAGGACTCTGTACTTTGAGGGTTGTCAAAGTGTGAGATCCCTTGCTCCAAAGGGTTTGACCTCTGAGGTTCTGAATCTGAATTGTAATCTCTTCCTCTTGCCCCCGGCCATATTGTGCCAGCTGATTTCTCTAGATATTAGTTCTAACAATCTGTGTTTTCTTTGTGCTTTCCTAGGCCTCCAACATCTCTTTTACTTATTCATACATTAAAGGCTCTCAATAGCATCTCTTAATGTGATTTCTGCCTTTTAAAAAAGATCTGACCTGCCACTGACACTGAATCTGCTTTAGGACTCCAGTCACTCAACAAATCACTAGATTGTCTTCACAGACATTTCCTAAGGTATATTTAAAGTATTTCCCCGGGCCTGGGGAGGTGGCTCAGTGGTAGAGTGCTTTCTTTGCATGTATGAGGCCCTGGGTTCGATTCCTCAGCACAACATAAGCAGGAAAAAAAAAAGCCAGAAGTGGCACTGTGGCTCAAGTGGTAGAGTGCTAGCCTTGAGCTGAATTGCTGAGGGACAGCACCCAGGCCCAGAGTTCAGGCCCACGACCAGTACCCCCACCCCCCCAAAAAAAAGTATTTCCCCCCTGCTTCCAATTTAGTTCTTCCATTGGATAAATGTCTCATTCATTGTTCGCGTCCTCAGTGCCTACCATGGAGCCTGGCATCGTGTAGGAACCTAGTGACGTGCAAAACCTGAAATTTACAAAAGCCTATACTTTGGTTACTGCTGAAACAATGGCCAGAATGGATTGATTTTTTTCTTTCCCTCCCTCCCTCCCTTCCTTTTGTGTATGTATGTGTTGTTCCTGGGGCTTGAATTCAGCACCTGGTCCTCTCTCAGCTTTATTGATCGAGGCTAGTGCTCTACCACTTGAGCCGTAGCTTCACTTCTGGCTTTTTTGGTGCTTAATTGAAGATAAGAGCCTCATGGACTTTCTTGCCCTAGCTGGCTTTGAACTGTGATCCTCAGGTAGCTAGGATTATAGCCTTGAGCCACTGGTGCCTAACTGGACTGAGCTGTAGCTTTTTTGCAACAATGTAATTCTCTTAGAGTCAAGCATATTTCTTATAAGCTTGTCAAGAGTACAATTCATTACTTGATATAGCCCCACCATCATCAGAACAGCAAGGAATACAATTTGCTTGTTTTTTTTTTTTTTGGGTCCGGTCCTGGGGCCTGAACTCTGGGCCTGGGCGCTGTCCCTCAGCTCTTCAGCTCAAGGCTAGCGTGCTACCACTTGAGCCACAGCACCTCTTCCGGCTTTTTTCTTATGTGGTGCTGAGGAATCGAACCCAGGGCCTCGAGCATGCAAGGCAAGTGCTCTACCACTGAGCCACCTTTCCAGCCCCTAATTTGTTTGAATTCTTAACCTAGGTAAACTATACTTGGGAATGATAAATGACTTACCTTATAAGAGTTTCATGAAGATCAAGAATAGATAAATTGGTTAGATTTACAAAGTTTAGTTAGCAAATAGTTTTAAAAATAATTTTAAGCTGGGCACCGGTGGCTAATGCCTGTAATCCTAGCTACTCAGGAGGCTGAGATCTGAGGATTGCGGTTCAAAGCCAGCCTGGGCAGGAAAGTCTGTGAGACTATTATCTTCAATAAACCACTAGAAAACCAGAAGTGGTGCTGTGGCTCAAGCGGTAGAGTGCTAGCCTTGAGCTGAAGAATGCAAGGACAGCACCCAAGCCCAGAGTTCAAGCCTCACGACTGACAAAAAAAAAAAAAAAATTAAAAATGAAAATTAGCAACAGAATCCAATTGCTGTAACATGGAACATCACTGAACAACATTTACTTGGTAAGATAATTTGCTTCTGTTCTTTTAAGCATTGTGCTGATACAGTTTGGAACAACTAAAACAGAGTGCAAAGTGTGGTTAACTTCTAGAGAGTTGTGAGAATTTGAACACATCTTCTATAGACTTAAGTATAAGCTGAGAAGATGGTATGTTTTATATACTTAATTCTTTAATAGCTTTGGGCAAATACATTAAATGATATTGTTGCTCACTGTGCCAAGTAGAACCATTTCATCAATCCTCCACTTATCAGTTTCCCTTGGATCCACTTCTTATATGACTTACACTTTCCTTTTTCTAGTTTGGAAGGAAAATGGTTCCTTCTTGTCAGGTGGGTTGAGCTATCACAGTCCTTAAATCCACCCCTTCTCCCTTTTCTTTCTCCTGTTAGGACCCATAGTCCATGATTATAGATCCAACACTTATGTTTTATCCTTTTTCAAAATCCACAAGTAGAAAAGCTTCCTTTTAAAACCTTACCAGTGTGAGACGCCATCTTAGGTCTTTCTTTTCTCATGTGCAAGTTCCAAACAATTTATATTTAGTTATTTCCTTAAGACATAATTTTGTGACTTCCTTTCTCATGCACAGGTTCTGAAGAATTGAGTTTCTATTTTGCTTTTTAGGTTTTAAATTATCTATGTAGTTGTACAAAAGAGTTATTATTCAACGAAGCAGTTTATGAATACAGTGCACCCCACTCTCACCCCTTCAACATTCTCACCCACTCATCCAGACCCACCCCTTCCCTTTCCTTAATTTTGTATATACATTGAATCATTGACAGTACTCGCCCCTTTCTTGTTTTCATTCACCTACCCCTTCTCCCCCTGGAAATTGTGCTTTTATAGCCCGCAAATGATTACTCAATCTTCTTGACTTCATCCTTCTTGGCATTTCTTTTGCACTTGACAGCTGATTATATTTCCTGTGTTGCTTCCTTCCTTGACCATTCATCTTCCTTAACTCTTCTCCTTCCTTTTCTCTCCTCCTTGGTCTGTGAGATGCTGTACTCCCATTTCTTCTCTTCTACAAACTGTTCTTTCCTCAGTTCCTTCCACAGCTGCTGCTTCTAACACACCAAGGCCCTGTCCTCTTCTCTTGGCAAACCTTTCCTGGACAATCTTGTTTATTCACCTTGTAGATCATTACATGAACAGTCACTAAGGTTGTATCCAGCTAGTATCTCTTTGTGAACTCTTAATCTAAGCTGTCAAATGCTCCTCCACAAAACCCACTTTCTTATGAGTGGTTTAGCCTTTACAAATTTGAAGTCAGTTATGAAATTCATGCTTTCCTCCAGGAGCACACTCACCCCCTCTGATCTCTCCTATGTCATCACCCCACCCCATACCTGCCCTGCCTCCGTCACTTCTCTGCTGATATTCTCATTCCAGGTGCTGTCAGGGATTTTCCCTGAAAAGACACCTCTGACTATGAAGATTCCCCAATCAAATACCTCTTAACTGTTTTAGGTTTATTCTTCTAGAATAAATCTAGATGTGTTAACTTGGCATTTAAGAACTTCATAGTTTGGATGTTAAATGTATACTTTTTAATCTTACAACAACTTGTATCAACTTTTTTTTCTATAGTTTATGTCTAAGGATATGGGTTTTCAGTCAGATTGCTAAATTTGAGTCCTTGTTGTTCCCCTAGCTGTATGAGTATGGACAGGTTTCTTAATATCTCTGTTCACATTTCCTCGTCTATAACATAGGCATAAAAAACATAGGGATTGTTGTAAAATCTGAACATTGAAAGTACCTGGCACATAAGCTCCAAGTGCTTCATTGAATAAATATTTACTGATGCTTACATATATATATATATATATATATATATATATATATATATATGCATACACACACATACATCAGGAACTATTCCATTCCAAGGGTTGGGGGTATTACCAGTGAACAAAAATACCTGCCTTGTCTATTACCACCATCTGAAAAGTGTCCCCAGGTTTTTATAGAGCTATTCTGGATGATGGCATTTATTTCATGGCCAGCACAGATTTTCCTGGTTCCTACTGTATTTCAAACATGATTTAAGAAAGCCTTACAGGTACTTAATCCCCAATTTTCTGGGTCATTAATGAATTTTCTTTCATTTCAAAGAATTGTATGTGTTTGAAATTTGCTTTTGTGGCATCTAAGAGTTTACTTTTAATTTTAAATCATCAAGTATTGAAATGTACTTACTGTTCTCCAACTAGCACTGGATAGAGCAGGTAAACTGCAATTCTCTTATTTTCTAATCGGTGTTTCACAATTCTAAAGAACCTAATGCTGTTTTTTTTAAACAAATACTACAGTAAGATAAAGTTACATTATACCACATTTAAAATCTCCCTCTCAGCATTTAACTTTGGGGGTATACTTTAACTATTCCTCTTATCTAGGCAGAGCTCCATCAGAATGGCATGAAATTCTCTTAAGAATAAGGCTCACACAACAAAATTTTAAATAATGATCAAGGATTTTTTTATTCATTAAGTTTCAGTATCATTACAGAAAATGTTATGGTACAGAGTTGTTTAACATTATTTTGTCTTTGCTCTTGATTTCCACATGAATGCTGGTAACACTAATATCTGTACAAGATCAGTCTTTGATTTAGTTTTTTTTTTTTTGTTCTGTACAATTTTAAATGTGTTGATTAAAAAGGCTGTCAGCACTTAAGGAAGCATTATTTTCCCCCAGTTTGTTTGTTCAAATAAAAGGTATCCAGTTACTGCCCAAGAGTGCTGTGCCGCGGCTGCTTGGGGGAGAGGCTTCCCTGGTGCTCAGCAGGGAGGGTTCTGGACGCAGGGCCGCACCTCCACCCAGTCACTCTTCTTTTGGCACGGTGCACATAAACACGAGATACATGATAAAGAACAAGCAAAAGCTCTCTGTAAAGCGGTTATGAAGCATACTAAGAAGGGAAATCCAAGTGTTGCCTACGCGAGTATAAATAAGCAGACAGCCTTGATTTAAGAGCATAAGTAGTTGTATTTTAAAGATGAGAAAAACACAAGTTCTGCAGGCACCTACCGCTGTCTACTAAAAGCTATCGCTATCAGACCTAGCATTGAACACACAAAGCAATTTGCAAGAAAGGAAAAATTTTGCTTTGATATAATCAGAATAGAGTTGTCTGTTAAGATTTATTCTTAGGTGTTGTTTTCTTTAAAAGATATTTAAATTCATTTGAAATATAGTTCAAGATGTTGACTATACAGATCAACTTTTATCCAAATCAGAAAAACTAGCTGTGCCGTTGCATATTACAGGATACAGTCAATGATATGTGGACATGCATCAAAGCTTTCTCCTGCTGGTGACTATCATAGCCGCCCAATGACCATGACGTCCACCACCTCGCCCTTGTGAAGCTCCACATACTGCTCTGTCTTTGGAGGTAGCATCAGTAGTCCATTGGCGCTGCGCATGCTCATCAGACGGCTGCTCATCTGATTACCTGGAAGGAAAGTCTCTCATTACAGCAGCATTAGCATGATGGTATATGGATTTAGAACCCTGGAGATTTAAAACACCCCACTCCCTCCCAAACAGACAAACAGAAATGCAGGGCTTCAAGAGGAAGAGAGAAAATCAAATTTCTCAGGATCTTTTTAGGTGGCTACATAGTATATCCTACACATTTTTTGCCAAAACTTAAAAAATAAACATTAGAAATACTTGTTTAGAAGAATAAAATTAGGAATTTATAGACTATGTAAAATGGCACAGAATTTCCCAGTTCAGGTTGAAATGTTTTTTATGTGTCTGAAAAGAGAGGCTTCCAAAATCTGTTTATACAATAAGAATAACAACAGTAGCAGCTTCTATTTCTTTACCAAGTGCCAGACAGGGTAACAGGTACTTAACTATTTATGTGACTCTCACAGATTCAAAAATATCTAAGGTAACAGGCTTAGAGTACTGATAACGTAAGTTGGAAGCCAATATGAATACAGGACTCTGAAAGCAAAGCCAATGTGCTTGGTAACCACATTAGCTGGCTGATGATTGCACTTGATATAGGATCTTTGTTTGAAGGATAATACAGTTTTTGTGATATTGCATCCAAAGTTAGGCAAAATAGGACTAGAGAAGTTAGTGATAAAAGTTTGAGGTTTAGCTGAGTGCCAGTGGCTCATGCCTGTATATCCTAACTACTCAGGAGGCTGAGATCTGAGGATCACGGTTCAAAGCCAGCCTGGATAGAAAAGTCCATGAGACTCTTATCTCCAAGAAACCAACAGAAAACAGGAAGTGGCACTGTGGCTCAAGTGGTAGGGCACTTGCCTTGAGTTGAAGAGCTGAGGGACAGTGCCCAGGCCCAGAGTTCAAGCCTCACGACCCACAACAAAAAGTTTGAAGTCTAGAGCAGGTAACTACAGAGCACTGAACTAACAATAGTAATTTCTCTGTTTTTAAGATTTACCAATGTTTAGGTACTATAGAGCTGCCAATACCACAGTATAAACTGCACTTTCATCAAAGAGGAGTAAAAGATGATACAGCAGCAGTGCCTTCCTTTTCCTACAACCCATGTTATGCTCCAAGTGGTACTTGAAGTAACAGATCCAAATATTTAGTTCCTTTTCACATTTCAAATGTTTATATATAAAATATGGTTCAATGAAATTATTACAATTATTATATTTTTTGTGCTGGTCCTGGGGCTTGAATTCAGAGCCTCAGCACTGTCCCTGAGCTTTTGTGCTCTACCACTTGGGCCACAGCTCCAAGTCCAGCTTTTTGGTGGTTGATTGGAGACCTGCCCAGGATAGCCTTGAACCGTGATCCACAGATCTCAGCCTCCTGAATAGTTAGGTTTACAGGTGTGAGCCATCAGTACTTGGCTAACTTTTATTATTTTTAACTTGTCTTTTTTTTTTTTTATCATATACTGTTTAGGAATTTAGTTTGCTTAAACTTTCAAAAAGAGAAAGAATATAAAAATTGAAAAATAAGTTATAACCAAGGAATAACATTTGATGTAACTTTTTCTTTTATGGCACTACTGGGGTTTGAACTCAGGGTTTTATATTTATTAGGTAAGTACTCTACCACTTGATCCACACTCCTAGCCCTTTCTGCTTTAGGGTCTCATAAACTGTTTGCCTTTGGTGGTGGTTGGCTTTGGACCATGGTTCCCTATCTCCACTTCTTGCATAGCTGGCATTATAAATCTGTACCACTACAACTGACTTGTTTATTGAGGTAGTTTTTCTAGCGCGCGCGCGCGCGCGCGCGCATGTGTGTGTGTGTGTGTGTGTGTGCGCGCGCTTTGGTTGGCCTTGAATTAAAATTCTGACACCTCTGTCTCCATGGATGGCCTTTAACTTGGTGGTTTAACAAAATGAATGCCCAGGGATACCTGAGTGAATGGCTCACCTGTACTTTGTGCCCAAGGCAGTGGCTCTTGGTGATGCCAAGTCAATATACACCGATGGTATTCTGGGCGGGGGTCCAGTTTCACATCACATGATAACTAAGGAATAAAGAAAAGAAGCAAATTTGGTCACATGATCATTTCTTAAAATTAGAAAGCTGGGGCTCTTGTGCAGAAGACACAGTAGGCACAGAAAATATCCTTGGAATTCTATGATTTCTTTCACTTCCCTCCTTGTTTTGAGGACAGGAAGCCAGAGGCAGAACTGCTCTAGTGGAAGAGAAAAGAAGGCTAAGAAGGACAGATTAAAAAGGTAATGTTTATTTCTTACTATTTTTATGGGTTTATGAAGAGGGAGAGGCTGCTTGTGAAATGAGAAACTAAAGCAGTCATCTTTAATATTGAGAATAAAGGAGGTAGACCTAAACAAATCCAGTACTGTGTATTGATCAGTCCATCCATTATCCATCCATCCAATATTTACTGAGGACCTAATAATGTATTAGGCACTATTCAACTACCCATTTATAGAACTTTTTTCAACATAAAAAGGATCTTTCACTAGCCATTGGGTACATTTATATTTGCCAATAGGGTAACCTGCCATCATGCCAAATCATTTTGTGCCTTTCAATCTCTGTATGTTCTCCAGCACTAAGTGGCTAGAGCTCCTCAGGGAGCTAGGCAACTGTTCCGCCACTGAGCTAGCTACACTTCAGCTCTCACTCACAGGATTGTTTGGTTTGCTTGTGTTTTAGCAAGTTTTCTCCCTCAGCAATGGTATTGATTTGTTCTTGATAGTACAGTAGAGTCAGCACTGGACTGCAATGATAGGGACTCCTAGGTTCTTTTCCATTTCGTGCTAACTGCTGTTCTGTATTAGCAAGTTATTTTGTTGTCTTAAAACTATAGAATGCAGTTCTTTTATATAATGGCTAAAATGTCTCCAAGCTTTATTGTCCTAACATTTTTAAACTGCTACTTTCATCTAGTCTAAAGATGAACATTTTTTTGTTTTAAGGGAAAACATTTATGTAAATTTAAGAAACAAAAGCCAACTGAATTAAGTTGAAGTGAATGAAATCTTTTTTCATACCCTGTTGAGAAACAGAAATTCCTTTTGCAGTTATAAATGAAATGGACTGGATTTTGGGGTGATTTACTAAATGCAGAATACTTTAATAGCTAATATATTTATTTGTACTGACATTGTTGTTCTAGTATATCACTTAATTTAAAAAGTACTTGTTTATGAGCTCCAGTGCTTCAGAGAACGATGCACCAGGATAAATACACACATGTACACCATTTTTTAAAGTAAATAAAGCATTGTAAAAGATGAGCGTTTCGTTTGTGATGAAAATTGGTCAGTTCTGCGGACTGGGAATGTTCCCTTTGGTTCATTTATATATTTGCTTGGTACATGATAATCATTCAATAGAAAAAAAACCTGACTAGCTTTCGTAATATAGGGAATGGTCTACACAGAAACATCTGTGTGAGAGATTTAGTTAAAACAACAGCAGCAGCAACAAAAAACAGGTGTAGAGGATGAGAAGATAGGCCATGGGATAAAAATATACAAAGAACATTTAAAACTCAGTAAGGAAATGAATAATTCAGTTTCAAAAACTGGACAAAAATCTGACTAGAACACTTGATGTTAGGGATGTATCACAGATGAAAGTTAGGATATAAGATGATGTTCCACATCCAATGTCATTATGGACCTGCTCATTAAAACAACATTGTAAGGCCAATACACATCCATTAGAAAAGCCAAATGTGGGGCTGGGAAGGTGGCTCAGTGGCAGACTGCTTGCCTTACATGCATGAGGCCCTGGGTTCCATTCCTCAGCACCACATAAGCAGAAAAAGCCGGAAGTGCCATTGTGGCTCAAGTGGTGGAGTGCTAGCCTTGAGTTGAAGAGCTGAGGGACAGCTTCCAGGCCCAGAGTTCATGCCCCATGACCCCTGCCCCCCAAAAGCCAAATGTCCAGCATTCAGACACTATCAAACACTGACAAGGAAGCGTAGCAAGAGGTGCCTGCTTTTACTGCTTGTGGAAGAGCAAAATGGCACAGCCATGTTGGAGAAGTGACTGGCAGTGTCAACATAGACATACTTTTACCATATGATCGAGTAATCATACTTCATGGTAATGAAGTGAAATGAAGTGAAAACATATGTCTACACAAAAGCCTGCACATGGATGTTTATGACAGCTTTATTCAAACTGCCAAAACTTGGAAGTAACCAAGATGTCCTCAGTGGATAAACAAACTAGGATAAATTCCAGACAATGATATATTATTCAACACTAAGATGAAATGAGCTATCAAGCCATGAAGACATGGAAGGAATTTAAATATATATATTGCTAAGTAAAAGAAGTCTGTCTGAAAAGTTTTTATACTATGTGGTTCCAAGAATATGGCATTTTGGGGGTGGGGGTGGGGAACCTATGGAGCCAGGGAAATAATCAGGAGTTGGTGGATTTGGGGAAGGAAAGGATTAATAGGTAGCACATAAACAATTCTTATGACAGTGCAACTATTCTGTATACTATTGTAATGTAGATACATGTCATTAAGCATTTGTCAAAGCCTATATAATTTCTACTACGAGTGAACCCTAAGGCTCAATAGCTATGTGCATCTGATCATATAAAATAATATTTAGCTGGGCGCCGGTGTCTCACACCTGTAATCCTAGCTACTCAGGAGGCTGAGATCTGAGGATCTCGGTTCAAAGCCAGCCCAGGCAGGAAAATCTGTGAAATTCTTGTCTCCAATAAACCACCAGAAAACCGGAAGTGGCACTGTAGCTAACATGGTAGAGTGCTAGCCTTGAGCTGAAGAGCTGAGGGACAGCGCTCAGGCCCAGAGTTCAAGCCCCACGACCAAAAACAACAACAACAACAAAAATTATTGAAATGAACTCCAGGAAATGGAAACAAGTTTTCCCCCCTTTGTTGCTGTTTTTCGTTTCCTTTTGTCGTTTGTTTACTTACCTGTCTTTGGGAGGGCAAGGGAGGCACAGAAGTGGTAGGACAAATGGTGAACAAATGCAGCAGTGCTGCTCACTAGACAATGTGTTAAAAATGAACTACACAACTTGTGGGTGAGGACAGGAGGGAAAACCTAGGAGTGAGTGAAGGAAGGGGTGACATTGTTTAAAAAGAAATGTAATCTTTATCTGACTTATGTAACTGTAACCTCTCTGTATATCACCTTCATGTAATAATAACAATACAAAGAAAGGAATCTGGGTGACAGCGATATGTTACTTTAGGTTAACCAATTTTGGGCAAACATTAGCATTCTTGTGCCAGATGTTGACAGTGGAGGAGTCTGAGTATTGTGTGGGGAGGGGAAATGTGGGACTTTTCTGTTCTTTCTGCTCAATTTTTCTGTGGAGCTAAAATTGCTCTAAAACAAAAATTTACTAATAAAAAAACAAGACTATTCTGTCTTTCCTCTTTGGCTAGTTCATCTTACAGAGAAGTGATTCAAAGTGAATGAGAAGGGCTTCTCGGGATTTTTTTGCCTGTATCTTTCACGTATGGAATTTACCATGCTAAGAAAGGAGGTGGTGATGGTGGAAACTTTTCAGGAAGGAGAAGAATCCCAGGCAGAAACAGGGAGTTTTCTTTCATTTTGGAAACTGAGTAGCTTGGCACAATCAGAGTATGGGATAGGAAACAGGTGAAACTGGAGAGGAAAACTGAGGACGTGGGATAGAGGGCCGCCTGTACCTTAGAAGGAGTTTAGAGTTAATCCTGATGAGCACTGAAGGATTTTCATTGAAGACAGGCAACTGATAAAAGGGAAGAGGGGAGAGGAGGATGGTAGTTGATAGAAGGGGTGAGATTAATAGTAATATATTGCAAAAATGTGGTAATAGAACAATGAAATCCCCCTCTGAATAACTAATGTGAGTTAATAAAATACAAAAGGGACTTAAAAGAGACAAGATTAGAAGTAGAGTACATTAATTAAGCTGAAAACTACAATACTATTATTATTTCCATTTAACCAAAAGCCAAAAGTGGAGCTATAGCTCAAATGGTCAGAGTGCTAGCCCTGAGTTCAGGCCCCAGGACTGGCAAAAAAAAAAAAAAAAAATTGAACCAAGCTTGTGGATTCCTTTCTTTTCTCTTTTCATTTTCCTTCCTTCACTCCTTCCTCCCTTGCTGTTTTTCTTAGGGTCTTACTATGCGGGATGGCCTTGAACTCATCCTGCTAAGTTCAGAGATTACAGGTCTACATTCTGCTAAAGGATTTTTAGAGTGAGTTAGAGTTGAAAAGTAAAATAAGAAGTTGAAAGTGTTCACAAATGTTTGATGTATTGTCTTACACATAACAGGCTTTAGGTAGGATGAACAAAATGGTGAACCACAAGAACTTATAGAATGAAGTAGGGGTTATAAGAGCTTAAATTAGATTTTTTTTTTAATCTACTGCTTAAAGGTACACAAGAGAGGACCCTGAGCTTATTTACTCTGTAAATCATCTAAAACTTATATCCATTCAAAGTCCTTACATATGTTGGTATGAATCAAATTCATGTTTCCAAAGTTTCTAGTAATATTTCTCATTTTGTAATAATTTGCAACCAATGTACTCTTTTTATGAATCATGTGCAGTTCTGTTCCTTAAATATCTATGTTTGAAATTGGTAAGTCATATATAATAGTCTCATGTGACAGGAATCCTGTATCTTTTAATGTAGAACGTTTCTCTTTATAACTGAAAAACCTTAGCAGTGTTCAAACAGAAACACTTTGTAGTTCATTGCTTATGACATCAGTCAGAAAGTATTCATCAGGTTCTTACGGCCGCAGAACAGTAATGCTCACACATTAGAATAGTTTGGTGGAGATCCAACAAGAATGCATTCTTCCAAGACTGATTTAGTCCCATAGGAGATAAAGGTATTTTCCCTTCTTCTTTATCCTCTTTGCTCCTCCCTTCTCCCTCCCCTGGTCCCCCTTCCTTTTCCTTCCCCCTCTCCCTCTTTCTTCCTCTTCTTTTTTCTGGTGGTACTGGGGTTTGAACTCAGGGCCTAGCCCTTGCTAGGGAGGTGTTCTAGTATTTAAGCCATGCCCTCAGCCCTTTTTTGCTTTAGTTGTTTTTCAGGTAGGGTCTTGAGTTTTTGCCTAGGGCGGGCCTCAGGCCATCAGCGTCCTACCGATGGCTCCTGAGTAGCCGGGACGTGGGATATCATATCCTGCCTTTTTCCATTTCTTAATCACTGCATGAGGGAGGGTTTTTGTTTCTGTTTTTGCACGAGGGAATTTTTAATGGACTTACCTCAGTTATGATTCTAGAGACAAAAAGTTGAGAACAAGGGCAATATAGGGTGTTAAGATGGTACATCAGAGAACATGGTAAGATGTTCTCTTATGGTAAAACTATGTCAATAACTTGAATCATTAAATACTAGGATTATGTACTGAAAACCAGAAGTATTTCATTTCCAACCATAAAGCAAGCGGTTATTCTAAACTGATACTTATCTGAATGCTTTAATATAGAAGGGTGACATTTTATGTGGTGACATTAAATTAAAAAATATTATAAAGGCGATGTACAGAGAAGTTACAGTTACATAGTCCAGTAATGAGTATATTCTTTTTGGACAATGTCACTCCTTCCCTCATTCTCTCCATTTTTTCTCTCCTGTCCCCACCCTGTGCTGACCTTTTAAAAATAATGCAGGCTTCTTGCCCTATCTATAAGATGATGATATCAGAGTACTAACATCCACCCCATTTCCCCAAAGTACTAAAGGACTGTGGCATCTATTTTGGAGAACAGTAATGAAAAGGTAAAAGCTGTAGGCTGTATGTTGCATCAGCAGAGACAGATCAGAAGATGTACCATACTTCCAGGTAGTAAATAGGGTTATGTCCTCAAGTGGCAGTCATGTCAGTGGAGGTATGGGAGTCATATTTGGGGAGTTAAAAACAACAGGGACAAGTAGCAAAGCATACCTATGGACCATGTTGGCAGTTCCTGTGGTGCTGGTGTGGGAGAAAGGTATTTACTTGATTCTTGGACCAGTTCCTAGTTCCCTGAATTGACAGGAAATAGGCAGCATATGAATGGTGTATCAAGCATCATTCTGATTAGAGACCACCATCAATCAAATCATTGCTGTTAGGATGGATGACTGCCACAATGCCAGAAAGAGATACTAAATTTTAAAACAAGAAATGAATATAAGGATTTATAAGGGCTTTTCAGAGTCAGAGAATTCTTCTTACAAGACTTTGGTTTTTTTCCTTGGTTTAGCAACTGTTACTGTTAATGGTTTGTATAAATCTATGACTTTCTGACTTGATCAAAATAGTTAATTTCAAATAGGACTACCATTGTGAAGATTAGAAAAAAACGGACTTAAAAAAAAAAAAGTTTTAGGGCTGGGAAGGTAGCTCAGCGGTAGAGTGCATGCCTTGCAAGCATGAGGCCCTGAGTTCGATTCCTCAGCACCACATGAACAGAAAAAGCCGGAAGTGTCGCTGTGGCTCCAGTGGTAGAGCGCTAGCCTTGAGCTGAAGAGCTGAGGAACAGCGCCCAGACCCAGAGTTCAGGCCCCATGACCGGCAAAACAAAAACAAAAACAAAAAAAAAAAGTTTTAGGAAAAGAGATCTCTTCATCCTTTTTCACTCTAGTAGTTAGAAGGTCAATGTTAAGACTGTATTAAGTCTAGACTTTGTTGTTTATTTAATGTATGTTCAGAGCAATATTTTTGTTAATATTTCCTCTTCTATATTTTCTGTTCTTCCTGTCAGAGTATTTTTTTATATCTGAATTTACTTCAGAACTCTTGAAAAGTAATGGTTTGATGTAGTAGTTTATTGCCAAGAATGTTGCTCATGAGTAATAGAGAAAGTGAATAATATAATTAGTTGAGTAAGTTAAGTAGTGTTGGTGGAGAAGTGAACTATTTCCAAATGGTTTTTATATAGTACATATAATTCCTCAGTCTTGTTCGTCTTTTTTTTAAACAATAAGATTACCCTTTCCTGAATCTCCTAGTTCTCTTTTTAGTTCTTTGGTTGTCTTTTTTACTGGATTGTTTGAGATTTAATACTAGAGTCACAGGAAAAGTAAACAGGTTAAGTTCTGTACTCTGTGACTTTACACTGGAGAAAAGTAATTTTTATCCCTCAGTGCATACAGATTGGGTGTCGGTGATCTTGACTGCTTTGTTTAAAGGATTACATTATGTTCTCTGGACTCTTTTTATAGCCTTCTAGCTAAAGAAAATGATTCATTTTAGAAGTCACCTGGCGGGAAATTATGAGACTCTTTCTCTTACCTCACAAAGGGGAGAACAATATGTCATTCACCATTAACATGAATCCTATATGTTTACTTTGGATTAGAAAGCATATCCTTTTTTTTTTTTTTTTTTTTAAATGAAGCTTCCACTTGAGTTTCTTGCTATTAGAAAACATTACCCTGGCTTTGATGATGGTTGGCCGAGGATCCAAGATGCCCTGCATCTTTCTCAGAGCAGGCACAACAAAGAGATTGCAGGTGACCACGGCTGATACAGGATTCCCTGAAAGTCAACCAAATAGTTATTTATATCATATCACATAAAGATGTCAAACAATTACAGCCATCTGTACCTTTGGGTATTTAGGACATGTTGGAAATGATCCCACAATCAGTCTTCTTTTGAGACATCTTGCATCCAACAGGGTAAAAGAATAAAGGTACAGGGGTACTATCCATCACACGCCACTGAGGGATTTAACATTTACTTTTGATAAAACAGAGAATTCTCATAACCAGCAGCTCTTTGACAATATTTTTGATTTTTGACAGCCATGTATTGAAACTCATTAGCTGATAAGGGTTTGTGTGTGTGTGTGTGTGTGTGTGTGTGTGTGTGTTCAAAGCGAGGGACACTGGAGGTCAAATCCAGAGTCTTGTGCATTTACATCACTGAGCCCTAGCCTCATACATTTTAAACCAGGCTAAATGTTTTATATATCTTCTTATTTTAAAGTACTTAAAATCAATGTAGAACTATTAAGACTGGTTTCAAAAAATAGGAAAATGTAGATAAGCATAAGGAAATTTATCTATAATCAATTCTAGTCAGAGACGTCTTTAACTTTAAAAACAAGCACCAAATAAGTTCACATGGAGATAGATACTCTGGACTGAATTATGTCTTCTCCAATTCATATGAGTGTGCCCTAACCCCTAATGTGGCTGTATTTGGAAACAAGGCCTCTGAGGGGGTGGTTACAATTAAATGAGGACTTGAGGTTGAGTTAATCTTTTTTTAATTGTAAAGGTGTTGTACGGAGGGGTTACAGATACATGTCAGGTACTGAGTACATTTCTTTTTGAACAATGCCACCTCTTCCCTCATTTTCTCCTAGTTTTTACCCGCCCGACTCCCCTTTCCCACAAGTTGTGTAGTTGACTTTCAACATAGTGCCTAGTGAGTATCACTGCCGAATTAGTTCATCCTTTGTTTCACCAAAGGTAGGGTTAATCTGATAGGACTGGTTTCAATATAGTAAGAAGACATTCCAGAAGTGTGTGTGCACAGAGGAAAAGTCATGTGAGGATGCAGAGGGACAGTGGCTGACCACACATCAGGAAGAAGAGCCTCCCAGGAAACACTACCATGGGTACCTTGATTTTGGACTTTTATTTAAACTACTCAGTCTGTAGTGCTGTTATAGATGCTAGAGCAAATTCCTACATATACCAACTTCTTGTTAAGTTATAAAAAGGATTTAAGAAATTCAAATGTAATTCTGTAGGAAAATAATCTAAGTGTGTCACATACTTCAAAAGGAGGAGGTTGGACTATATGATTCTTAAGATTCTAACTCTGAAGTCCTAATTTTATTCTTTTTGACAGATGAATGTGTATGTGTATATTTATGTATGTATGTATATGTATATATATATATATATGTATGTGTAAACTAGTGGAGGAAAATGGGTTTATGAGATTTTTGTGTTCCCTTTCCTGAAGTGCTGTTAATTCCATCCTCAAAGTAAAAGAAAGGCAATGATCGGATTAGTCTATTATTAGATAAAACCATATTTTCAATTCTCTTCTACCACAAAATAACTGAGATCAGGTTTTAGTTTTTTTTTTTTTGTCCATGCTGGGGCTTGAACTCAGGGCCTGGGCTCTGTCCCTGAACTCTTTCACTCAAGGCTAGCCCTCTACCACTTTGAGCCACAGTGCCACTTCCATTTTTTTTTTTTTTTTAGTGGTTAATTGGAGATAAGAGTCTTATGGGGACTTTTCTGCCTGGACTGGCTTCGAACCATGACTCTCAAATCTCAGCCTCCTGAGTAGCTAGGATTACTGGCATGAGCCACCAGCACCCAGCTGAGAGTAGGTTTTTCTTTTTAGGTTGTAGAAAGGGATCAACTGATATTAATAATTTTAATTGAAAAATGAGATGTTCAATAGAACAGGTTTTTTTCTTTTGAGGTGAGGTCTCACTATTGCGCAGTCTGACCTTACACTTGCTATGTAGTTTATCAGACTGACTTCAAACTTATAATGCTCTTTATCCTCTCAAGTGCTCCTCAAATACCACATTCTTAGTATTACTTTTCCCTTGCCTCAAATATATTACCAATGATTATACAATTCCTGTACTACTACCCTATACAGCTACTGTTAAAATGAATTGCTCTATATAAGGAAAAAAACGAGAAGAATGTCAAAAAGTTATAATAGTTTCTCTGGGTGGTAGAAGGAATTATAGATGTTTATTTATGCTCATATATAGTGGACATGTATTATTATAAATTTTAAAAGTTGGCAAGTAAATATAAAAAACTATTACATTTGTTATAATTAAAGTTACTGAAAACCTTTAAGTTGATAGCCTTCAAGAAATTAGAAATATACTTAAAGTTGAGAATTCTTACAAATGGAATTACTTGCTGTTTCTAGAATCTGAACACGTGAGTTGTGGCTGCTCTCTTTTGGTTCATTCAGGATGAACAGAGTGAGTTTCACATCAGTTTGCAGATAGCTTTTAATTTTGTATTTTCTTTGGCAGATGAATTGTTTCACTAGAAATGTTAAAATAGGTTCCCACGAAAGTTTTCTTTGTGGCTGAGGTAAGATGGGAGAAGTACAATACCTGCCTAGCAAGTATGGGTCCCTGAGTTCAAACCCTCATATATACACATACACACTGATACACTGTCACTGATGGTCTGCACGTTAAGCCATGTCTTCTGAAGACAAAGTACAGAGTCTCTTCCAAGAAAAATATAGGTAAGAGAAGGCCCTCCCCCCTTTTATTTTGTTGGTTGTGGGGCTTGAACTCTGGGCCTGAGTGCTGTGCCTCAGCTCTTCAGCTCAAGGCTAGCGCTCTACCACTTGAGCCAAAACCCCACTTCTTGTTTTCTGGTGATTTACTGGAGACTTTCCTGCCAGTGCTGGCTCTGAACCACAATCTTTAGATCTCAGCCTCCGGAGTAGTTAGGATAACAGGCGTGAGCCACCAGCACCTGGCCCCATTTTGTAATATGATTTTTATGGTATCCAAGGAAATAGTAAAGGCCTTCAGGAATCTCAGGCCATCCTTTTTTTTGTCCTGGTATTGGGGCTTGAACTCAGGGACTAGGTGCTGTCCCCAAGCTTTTTACTCAAGGTAGTGCTTTAATACTGAGCTAGAGCTCCATTTCCAGTTATTTGATGGTTATAAGATTCGGAGATAAGATTCTCATGGACTTTGAACCTTGATACATAGATCTCAGCTTCCTGAGTAGCTAGGATTCAGGCATAAGCCATCAGAACCTGGCTCCATAGATATATTTTAAAGGCTCTTTTAGGGATGGGAAGTTGGCTCAGTGGTAGAGAGTGCTTGCCTTGCATGCATGAGGCCCTGGGTTCCATTCCTCAGCACAACATAAGCAGAAAAAAGCTGGAAATGGTACTGTGGCTCAAGTGGTAGGGTGCTAGCTTGAGCTGAAGAGCTGAGGGACAGCGCCCAGGCCCAGAGTTCAGGCCCCACACCAACCAAAAAAAAAAAAGGCTGTTTTATTTAAATATTTTACATGATGGAATTTAATGTTAGGGGATTATAATGTTGTTTAAGTTTAAAAATGTTTTACCTGACTCTTATTTTTCTATATTTGAGATTTACTTAATATAAAAAGCAAATAAATAGCGCAGACCTATGAGATTTGTGACTGAAAGGAGTAAGTAGATTATTTTTTGAAGAAATCTATCTTAGAAACAGGGACTTGGACAGAATTATTAGAGTGTAATTTTAAGTCAAAAAGGAAGTAGATACATAAAAGTTCTAAAGTGCTTTAAAAATTATTGGTATTTATCAAGCCTTTAAATACAGGGCCAATAAAGTAATAAACAATAATTAGACAATCCTTGTCAATTGAACCACATTATTTTTTCTATAATCTGAACATGTGGGTTTTTGCTCAGATGGGAGCAAGGGTGGTGATTGCAGACATCAGACTGATGATGTGTGGAATGTGGCTGAAATGCATCAGGACCAGTGGAAGGAGAGGTGCATCTCCCTAGTCGCCTCAAATCTTATAAGTAGAGACAGCAGTTGTTTTTAAAAATTGTTTTGTTTAGACACAAGGTCTTGCTATGTAGTCCATGATGGTCTCCAATATATGATCCTCCTGCCTTATTCTCCCCAGTGCTGGAATTCATTATTTGCTTATTTGTATTTTTCAATCTTTTTTTTTTGGTCGTGGGGCCTGAACTCTGGTCCTGAGTGCTGCCCTCAGCTCTTCAGCTCAAGGCTAACACTCTACCACTTGAGCCACAGTGTCACTTCCTTTCCTGCCTAGGCTGGCTTTGAACCACAATCTTCAGATCTTAGCCTCCTCAGTAGCTAGGATTACAGGTGCCACTGGCACCTGGCTCAATCTAGTATTTTTTATGGATAGCTCAAGCAAGGGCTTTGGCTCTTTGATCATGGTACTTCTAGTTGTGAAAAATGATTAGCCTGCTATCTGTGACCAATTTCCTATAAAGAAAAGGTAGGTGCCCTAGAAGATCTAGTGACAGTGAACATTTTATTATCATCTTAGGGTTTGGAATGTGCTCCAGAAGCATTATCCCATTTTATAGAAGAAATAGTTTCAGAGGGTGAAGTGATTTGTCAGAAAAGCTGGGACTTAAGTCCCAATGCTTTTAGATTCCAAATCAATTAATCTGATTGGTAACTGGATCTGAGAAGTCCAAAAATTTGGGGATAATATTTTTCAGAAAAAGTGGAAAACATCTCAGAGTTCTTACCTGGTAGTGCAAAAATAATTTTTCTTACACCATCAATATCCAAAGTTGCAAATGTTGTTGGCAAACTAGAAGAAAAATTAAAATGCTTGTTAGTGATTGTTAAGGAACAGAAGTAAATGAAGTGTTCCAGTTTTCCTATGTTGCTATTCATAAAGATCACTTATCATATAAAACCACTTTTCTGTTGACTTGCCTTCAAATCTTTATACTCTGAAGTATTTCAGAAGCATCTAAATGATTTTGCTTTCAGAATCTTCTGTTTCCTTTTCTTTTTCTTGTTAGTGCCACAGAAACATTCCAAATTCTCAAGTTTCCCTTCTACTTAGCAAGTCTGTATTATTTTTGCTGGCGATTTATAACAATCATTCTTATTATGAGAAGACTTGATCATATCTGTCTAATTGCTTCTTGTTTAAAGTATTATCCTTTTAATATTATACTTAACAGTATAAATGAAACATATCTAAATCAGCTTTTGAAATATACAAATAACTAAAATACTATAGCTATAACCAGATAGCAATTAAGAATATTGTCAGATATGCTTTCTCAAGATTATGACATAAACTCTTATCACAGCAATGGGTAGGATAAGTGGTTTGGAGGGAGTAACTAATTGAGAAGAGTGATTTTTTTTCTATTAATTGCTCTTATGTAAGATTTTAGCTATCAATCTCATTATGCTTATTATATTAAACTTGAATGATGAAGAATTCTTCGGGAATGTTACAACTCCCATATTGGTAAAACTTTATTCTTTTTTTGGGGGGTCCGGTAGTGGCCCTGAATTCTGGGCCTGGGCACTGTCCCTCAGCTCTTCAGCTCAAGGCTAGCACTCTACCACTTGAGCCACAGCGGCACTTCTGGCTTTTTTTTCCTGCTGATGTGCTGAGGAATCGAACCCAGGGCCTCATGCATGCAAGGCAAGTGCTCTACCACTGAGCCACCTTTCCAGACCAAATTTTATTCTTTTAAGCACCAAAATTATATTTCCTTTTTACTAGTTTGCAGTTTGATCTTTCAAAAATGGACTATTCACTTGGTACTTTTTGAAATAGTATGGTAATATTGGAATTTCTGTTAATATACAGCTGTCATTATTAATATAATCCCTTAACTTAGTCATGTCAGATCACAGGATAGAAAGGTTGTTTTTAACCTATGAACTTTCTTAACTTTATGCCTTTGTGAGCCTGTGATTCAGTTCTATTTCTTCCTTTCAGTTTTCTTGTGTGGTTTTCCTTAATCCCAGACTGCTATCAGAGAACACTAGTAATAGTCATATTGATTAAAAGGCAATATTAATATGATAGTATCAACTACTACTTAAAAAGTAACATCTGTGTTACCTCATTATTTCATTGTCTCAGAACAACACTAAGAGGTGACAACTATCATTGGATAGATAAGGAAATGGAAACTCAAGACACTGAGCAATTTGATCAAATATCACTCAGCTACTCAGTGGGGAAACAAAAGATCTGGAACCAAGGTTATTACCTTTATGGCCCATAATTGATAAAGCTCTTATACTATGTTCTAATGAAGTGCTAGTATTTGGACTTTGTGACATCTATTTTGCTTATGTCTTGATTCTTTGTTTTAAATATATGTGATTTTAGGCTGTCATCTCAATTTGCAGATAGGTGACTTGGAAATGTTTATTACTGTGTCATGAAAGCAATTTCCAAGTTACATCATTGATAACAGGTATGCTTACTATAGATGTCATGTAAAACCAGTGACTGGTAGATCTATTTGGTAATACTACAAATGCTTTTCTGAGTATCTTTGTCTGTAAAATGAAATAGATATTATATTTGTAATGTACTGTAGATGAAGAGAGCAAAGTTAAACTAAGAAAACTTTTCATTTTACTATTAAGTAGCAATTACCTCTACTTTCTTCTTTAGAAAAGCATGAAATTTTAGCCAATTAAAAGAAGCACACTTAAATTTCATAACCACTTTACTATAGTGAACAGCCTAGATACTACAAGTGAGGAGAAAATGAATAATGCTTTCTTCTTTCTACTGTATTTAAAGTTGATATGAATTATGAGGCCCTTTCATATCATCTTTTGCATCTCACAGATAGGTAGTGTGATTTCTCTAAAAGTACTCTCTTTCAAAAGATTCTATTTACAAGAAAACATTTGGCTATCTTGCATTGCCATTACAAGTGTCCTACAGCTAGGCCATGAGGCTTTTAAGCCCTGGAAAGCCATATCCTTTGTTTAACTCTCCTCTTGATGTAAGAATGTTAACAACATTTATGCAATAACTGAGATCCCAAAGTGTTATGATTTTAGGAGAGAAGAATAAACATTAGGAAGTAAAGAACTCCTAAAGGGGAAGAAAGTGGTAAATAATAAACTGAAAAGAAAACAAATCTATAGCTGGGTGCTGGTAGCTCACACCTGTAATCCTAGCTACTCAGGAGGCTGAGATCTGAGGACTGTGGATCAAAGCCAGCCCAGGGAAGGAAAGTCCATGAGACTACCATCTCCAATAAACCACCAGAAAACCGAAAGTGGCACTGTGGCTCAAGTGGTATGGTGCTAGCCTTGAGCTGAAGAGCTAAGGGACAGCGCCCAGGCCCAGAGTTCAAGCCCCATGACCGAGCCAAAAAAAAAAAAAAATCACTATATGGGCTGGGAAGGTGGCTCAGTGGTAAAGTGCTTGCCTTGCATGCATGAGGCCCTGGGTTCGATTCCTCAGCACCACATAAGCAGAAAAAAGCCGGAAGTGGTGCTGTGGCTCAAGTGGTAGAGCGCTAGCCTTGAGCTGAAGAGCTGAGGGACAGTGCCCAGGCCCAGAGTTCAGGCCCCACGACTGGACCGCCCCCCCCCCCCCCAAATCTAATTCAATTAGTACTGTTTAAAGGAACAGGGAAAAAGATTATCATAACATTTGCTTATGAAAAGGGTTTTGTCAGCAGATGCTGGGGAATATTCAACAAGCAACTACAGAAATAAACTGTCAAGAATTATGAATTCTATGTAAGTGTGGAAAAAGCTTTAGGGACAAATAATCTTTACTAAATATGGCCAAATCATGACAGTAAAGCCTGACCACTGTCAGAGGTGCTCAATAAATCAGGGATATTAGGAAGTCTGGCTTGACACTTAAAAAGGCTTCAGGAAACATATTTCCCATAGCTGATTCATAACAACTGGGAAGTCCTATCCCACTCTCTATCAGGAATCATCATCTCTAACACCATGGATGTGTGCTGAATTGCTTACCCATACACTGAGGTCTTTGAATAGAGAACCAAAGATTGTTGAATAGCAGGGGTCTGAGCAGGCAGAGTCCTGCATAAAGACATGGCCATATGTATTTCACTTACACTAGTGTTTGGCATTATTTGAGGATTTGCTTAAACATTTTTTTACTTTGGGTTATTAATCCTTAGAAATATGCAAAATCTTAATATGTGGTTACTTTTTTCCTCCTGGGAAATAGTAGGTTGCAGGGTTAAACATAGGAAGGGAAAAATACTGAGTTAGAATCTAATTAACCCAGAGAATACACAATAGACAGAGAAACTTGTTAAACATAACCCAAGGAGGCAATTTGCCAACTCCATTTGTCAGGATAAGTGTTCCAGTTTACCTAAGAAGTCATAATAAACAAATGTTTTTTAAAAAGGGAAGAAGGAGTAAATATGGATTTAACAGCCACTTAACAAATACTGTGAGTAGACCTTGCCTGAATCTGGAAGCAAACAAAACAATTATGAAAAGGGATTATTTTCCTTGACATTTGGGAGAACTTGAATATCAGGACATTATATGCCAAAGAATTAACTTAGGTAAGACAGTACACTTGTATTTACATAAGAGAATGCTCTTACTGTTCTCATTACTTACTAAAGTGATATGATATTTACAATTGGCTTTAAAATACTCCTCCTTTCCCTCCCATAAGAGGTAGGATGGAAGAACTGATGAGACAATTACAGAAAAGCGTTGATGGTTACTGAACTGGGTAATAGGTACATGGGAGATGGCTCATTATGTATACTCTTTTATATTTGAGATTTTTTTTCCCCCCACTAAGCTGCCTTTAAAAATAGTGAATGAGCTGGGCGCTGGTGGCTCACGCCTGTAATCCTAGCTACTCAGGAGGCTGAGATCTGAGGATCGCGGTTCAAAGCCAGCCCGGGCAGGAGAGACCGTGAGACTCTTATCTCCAATAAACCACCAGAAAACCGGAAGTGGCGCTGTAGCTCAAGTGGTAGAGTGCTCGCCTTGAGCTGAAGAGCTGAGGGACAGCGCCCAGGCCCAGAGTTCAAGCCCCACGACCGACAAAAAAAAAAAAAATAAAATAAAAATAGTGAATGAAGCCAGGAGCTGGAGACTGAGATCTAAGCCAGGTCAGAAAAGTCTATGAGACTCTTTATCTCCGATAAAGTATTCAGAAAAAGCTGGAAGTGGTGCTGTGGCTCAAGGGGTAGAGTTCTAGCCTTGAGCCAAAAGAAGCTCAGGGACAGTGCCTAGGACTGGCAAAATAAATAATCAAATTAATTAATTAAAAAAGAGAATGAATTAGTAGGCAGAAATAGATAAAGAATAGTAAGGAATGGGACATGAAAATTAAAAAGAAAAAAGAGGTTGGAAAATTGTTTGCTTTGTACCAAACCCAGATTCATCTGGGACATGGATTCTTATTCCAAATATGTATGTATTCAGAAGATTCCAGAACTAAAATATTGTTTATTAAAAAGTTAAACTAACATAGAATATTTAAAAAGAACGCATCTAACTTGATTAGTTAAAGCAATCCAAATCAATTCCATATATGAGATAAAATTATTTTCATACCCTGGTTTCATAAAAACTCTGCCAAAATGGATCTGAGCATGAAGATCAATGTCCAGCACCTGCTTGAGATAGTCCTGCAAACATTAAAAACAGTCATTTTAACATTTTAATATTAGACTTGTAATACTTTCAAATGAAAATAAACTGAATTCATGAATTTAAAATTTTTGTCATTTTAGTAAAATTGATTTGCTTAATACAAATATTACTTCATTCCTTATTCATTCATTTAATCAGAATTTTCAGAGCACCTGCTATGTGCTGAGTACCAATCAGGGGGATATAGCTACAAATAAAAGGGACAACAATTCTGCTCTTATGGGAAGAACATTCCAGTAGAGGATATTAGATACATACATTAGTGTATAATATCCTTACTTAATGGAGTTTTTGATCTTTTTTTTTTTAGACAATTTTAACAACGACGCCTTAAATTTTGCCTGGCAGAGCAACCACATGTGTGTGTCATGCAATATTCTACTTAATGGTCCTAAAGAATATACTTGTCTTTAAGAGAGACTTGGTCATTTGCTCACAGCTTGCTAATCCAAATATGTCAACTAAAAGGAAAAATTGAAGGAACTCTAAAAGAGACCTTCTGCTAACAACAACAAAAATACAACATGCCTTCCCCCCTCCTTAGCCCCCGGCTCCCGCTCCACCATGGCCAGCCTGTCTTCATGATCCACTCAGAATGACCTCACAAAATAAAAGGTACAACATGGCCCCATATGGTTGTAGACAAAGAGGAAAAAATGAATCATGTGGCACTGTGGCTCAAGCGGTAGAGCGATAGACTTGAGCTGAAGAGGTCAGGGAGAGCGCCCAGGTCCAGAGTTCAAACCTCACAACCGACAAAAAAAAATTCTTTTAAGTGATAAAATCTTAAGATCTATTTCTGAATTTAATCTTTATTAATCCAAGAATGAGTGTACTAATCTGCCAATCTACTATTTCATACATTACAAGGGACTTGTTAAAAAAAAAAAAAAAGGACTGTTCCCCTCTATCTCCAGCTCCAGCCAAAATCACCTAGCCTGAATTGCAGTAGGTCCCTTTGCCAATATTTAATCTTTTCAATTTATTCTTCACTTGCATAGAGGTACAAGAGATCCCCTGAGACACATTTGAGCAATTTACCTTCTAATACTTAACCATTTTCCTGGTTTTTAGGAAATAAGCCTTTTTTTTTTTAAGTATCCTAAGATTCCTATATTTTCTAGCTTTCTTTTATAATCATCTGCTGTCAGCCTTCTTCGCACCCAGACGTGTTCTTTCAGTCTTTATTTATTTATTTTTGGTGGGTCCTGGGGCCTGAACCCTGGGCCTGGGCACTGTCCCTCAGCTCTTCAGCTCAAGGCTAGCACCCTACCACTGGAGCCACAGTGCCCCTTCCGGCTTTTTCTCCTTATGTGGTGCTGAAGAATTGAACCCGGGGCCTCATGCATGCAAGGGAAGCACTCTACCACTGAGCCACCCTCCCAGCCCCTTTCAGTCTTTCTCTGTCCATTCTTTTTTTTTTTTTTTGTTGGTCGTGGGACTTGAACTCTGGGCCTGGGCGCTGTCCCTCAGCTCTTCAGCTCAAGGCGAGTGCTCTACCACTTGAGCTACAGCGCCACTTCCGGTTTTCTGGTGGTTTATTGGAGATAGGAGTCTCACGGTCTCTCCTGCCCGGGCTGGCTTTGAACCGCGATCCTCAGATCTCAGCCTCCTGAGTAGCTAGGATTACAGGCGTGAGCCACCAGCGCCCGGCTCTCTGTCCATTCTTGCAGGACTATATTGCTTTTAGCTACTTAGCTGTCTTGTTTCCACTCTTGGAAAATATTCTTCCTCTGCCTCTTTCTTTCTTCCTTTCCTTATCCCTGTCTCATTTGTCTGAAACTTCTCTAAACTCTATAAGGCTGGAAGATATATTAATTCAGTTATTTTTATTTTGAGGTTGTATTATTACTTGTGTTAAATTTAGACTTGTTCTATATTCCTGATGGATTTTTTCTATTACAAATGACAAAATGTGCCTGATGTGGTGACACTTGCTTGTAATCCTAGGACTGGAAACATAGTTCAGTCAATGGTAGTCCTGAGTTCATTCCTAGAAGTGCAAAAGACCAAAAAACAATGAAACAAAATAAAACCTGAGCAGAAGCTAATCAAACAGAAAATAGCCTGTGAGAGCAAAAAGCAGAAGTTAACTACAGACAATAACCCTTGAAAGAAAAAACAAAAACAAAAAACCTTTCTCCTAAAGTCTAGTAATCCTTTGTCCCTCTATGAATACCCTGCTTCTTGTGCTAGGGAATCAAACTCAGGAAAGTGCTCTACCACTGAGCTAAACATCCTAGTCCTCTTGAAAAAACATTCAAAAACTAAAAGTTATTTTATTTAGGTCTTAATTGATTGCAATCTGGGAAAACAAAGATGTAAGCAATCTCATTTGGCTTGCTTGTTCTTGGCTTGGCACTTCACTTTAAGTCATGCCTCCAGCCCTGTTTTGCTGCTTAACTGAAAATGGAATCTAATTGGATTTTCAGGCTGGCTTTGAACTTGGATCCTGTTGTTCTCAGCCTCTTGAGTAGCTTGGGTTATAGGCAGAGCTAGGCTTAATTAGCTGCTTTTTAAAATTCAGAATGATGAGTTTTAATGGGAAGATTCAGTCTATGTTTAGTCTAATACTGTTATTTTTGAGCTTAAAATTGTTTGTTTCCTATTTGTTACTTCTGTTTTTCTTTCCTTTTTCTTCTAGCAAATACCTCTTTCCCTTCTATTACCTTTTCCCTTCTATTGTAAGTTATATGCATTTGTATTTTAATAGTTATTTTGGAGATTACAATATCTACCTGGCTTTATGACTTGGTAGCTTAAAAATAATTTCCAAGGTAACACAGGGATTTTAAACGGTGAACTATTTATTACTCTTTACTTCCTATGCTACTATGTATTATATATCTCACACTTTCAAGTATGTTTTTATATATTTCAAGTATGTATTTCAACTATTACATATATTCTATATATTTCAAGTAGATAATACATACTCTACATATTTCAAGTATGTACATATGCTACATATATACTTACTGTATAATATTTACATATATTTCAAACCACCTAAGGTATGATTTTATGTGATCAATATTCATTGGCATTTCCTGGCATGTTAAATCCTTTCTTTTACTCTATAATCCTTTCTGCATTCCATGCTGCCAGTATCTTGATGCCTAAAAAACTCCCATTGGGTTCATCTACTCAGTTTTCCTTTGGCTGAAAATGTCTTTACCCTCATTTTTGAAGGAAAATTTTGCTCATGTATATTTCCATATTGGGAGTAACTTTTTCCTGAACATTATAAGTTCATTTCATTGATTTCTAGTTTCTCTCATTTATGTTAAAATAATTTCTCTTGGTTTTATTGATCCTTTGAAGGTAATGTGTTCTGATAAGATTCTACTTTTGTCTTTGGATTTTAGTAGTTTAGCTATGATTATCTAGGTATTGTTTCTCTGTACTTATCCTGCTTAATATTAATAGAACTCCTTGATCTCTCTCTGGTTTTGATGTCTTTTACGGGCTTGAAAAACTGTTTCAGCTCTAAAAATAGCTCTAAGTGTGCCAGTTCTTAGATATGGCTTCTTACTTGATCTTTAATTACATATTAGAGCTATCAACATGTCCTATATATTTTATGTTCTTGTCCATATTTTATTTTTCTGAAAATTTCACTAGATTCTTACACAGATTCCAGTTTTCTAGTGAAAGTCTCCATTTTGTTAGTTTCTTCAAACATATAATAGCCTTTTAAGGTCCACAAGAGACAATATAAATATCAGCATCACTTTCAAAGCTTTTTTTTCCTTAATTTTTAGTACTTTTTTTTTTCTATCTCTGGTATGCCTGGTAACTTTACAAGCTGAATATTAAATATGATATATGAAAAGAATGGAGGATTATAGATTTCTCTAAAAATGACCTAATTTCTTTTGGAGGTTAGCTAAGGTAAACTCAGATTATCTTGACCTAATATTGTCAAATTATATAATTTGACAATTTTGGACATTGTAAGGCTGGATTATATCCCATTTGTCCTTATCCCCAGAGCACAGTCTTATAAGAGTTTAAATGGAGAGCCTTGAGTATTTTCTGGGGCCCTTTCTCTATGGCAGGTCTAAATGCCCAAGACACTGGACATTCTGCTTGTATTCATTAGTTTTTCAGCTACTTTTTATGTCTGGCTTTTTGACTTCTGGAAACATCAGAGCCTTCCTTTTCTCCAACCCTCCCTTTTGGAATTTAATAAGTTTTTATTTTTTTGAGACATGGTCTCACTATGTACCTCTTGAGGTCTTCCTACCTCCGCCTCCCTTGTGGTGGGATTTCAGATATGAACTACTGCAATCAGCATCAACTAGTATTTTTGAATTTTAATTATATCACAGAAATTCTATGTTTTGAGAATTTAATGGTAAACAAGACACAGTTCCTGAAACAAATAAGTCCTATTATATTTATTAGAACTAAACTGCCTTAAGTAAACCAAAAAGTTCAAGAGTTACTATTTGTATTAAAGGCTGTAAAGAAATAAGCAGGTACTGAAATAGAGAATGGTGTGGTAGGGTAGAAAATTAAAAAAAAAAGAGATCATCTTAGAAGAGAGTGATGCATTAGCTAAGTTGTGAAGGATAGGAAGGATTTGGGCATGGGAAGAGTGCTACAGAGGGAGGGAAGTACTTATTAAGGCTCCTTAAAGCAGCAGAGTGCATCTGGAACTGAAAAGGTGACTAACGGTGATAAATGAGTGGAGAGAGGCTTTTTCTTCAAGGACTTGAAGGTTATGATAAACAGTTTAGAAAGTAGATGCTTATTAGGCATACTTAATAAATGAATAAAATATTTTTCTTGCAAACAAATCTCCCATTTACAAACAAATCTCCTATTTAGTCCTTTTTAACATGAAGAAGTGTTTAATGTTCCTCATGATAGAGGGAAAGCTTATTACAGACATAGTAATAAATGCTGAAGATCCTCATTATTCTTAACTTTCTATCTGACTAAGGAAGCATGGAACTTCTTTGATACT